CTCATCTTTTAAAAGGGTGTTAATTACATCGTGAAGATAGGATATTGTAAGGTATTTAATATTCTGGCATTTGGTGCTGAGTGTGTGTTTAAAAGTTAAATTGCATAATGTATAAATCATGATTGTAGCTACAAATTAGTACCTGTAAGTGTGACTGATGTATTACATTTGAAAGATAAAATTATATTTTACAGTAGTTTGGCTTTAAGGCCCTGACATTACTATGTTTTTTAAAAAAAAAATTGTGATTTATGGTGTGTAATGTCATCATTGCAAATGCAAAAATTGTAAATTGCAAATGGTGATTTACGTGACACAGTTGTGTAATTTGAAAATAAAACTGTACATATTGAGGTGATTATATTTTTAGGGGCCCTGACATTACTATTAAATTTGGGTAGTTTTTGAAGAATAAAGATTTTTAATATGTTTTAAATGTAGGCGGTTTGTTTATAAAACAGCTTAAGTTTTATTACCAGTGGAGAGAAAAGGGAGGGTGTAAGGGATGCATTTTACGCATATCACTCGTTCGTGTAGTTGAATACAACGGTAGTTTTTCAAATTGCTGGTCCTGGTTAAAGTCCTGGCAGGAATTTGGAGTATTCAATTGTTTATTTTTATATCAGATTTAGTTGATGGTGTGGAAAAGAGGTTCAGCATGCTTGCTTAATTTACAGGTGCTTATTTTGCATATTTTATTCACGTGTGAGGTTCTATTTTGATTTATCGGGTTAATTGACTTATTTTTCTGTCCTTTTGTTCTGAAAACTGAAGATTTTGCTTCTAGTTTTCATAGATGGTAGTATTTTGGGGGGGGGGCCAGGGGGGGAAAACCCAATAGGATTCTCTGAAACTCACTTCAAGGAAACTCGTCTAGATAGAGCACTTGTTATGCTTTAAATATCAATTAAGCAAACCTTCAAAGACATCCATTCCAACTCTCACCTATAACATTTAATTCCTAGGATTAGTTCCACCTTTCAATCATAGATTACTGACACTGTGAGAAGTCTATAGAAAGGAAAAAAAAAGAAAAAAGAACTATAGCCACTGGAAAAGAACGCCCGGCTTGGGGGGTGCTCCCGCCGTGGTATACCGCCATTAATCAAATGCCTCTTGGATAGGCATTGAGTAGGGGAGTGATTATCAATCAATGGCCCTGAAGTAGGAACCAAATGCTAGGAAAAATGTGAGAAAGAGCGACCCCCACGAGTTCGATCCCTGACCATCAATGACGTTTCACCTTAAGAAATCAACCTGTTGCTGGTTTCTTACTGTGCAACGGTACTGACTTGCAGAGTGCTTGAGTCCTGGTATATGTGAATTAAACGCACAGCCAATAGGTAGAACAAGGATTAAACAAATCAGGCGCCCGTGCTTGTTGCATCCAGTTTTGTCGCCTGAATGGGTAAAAATAGTTAGGTAGGGATTATTCTATGGTGCTTTTATAGCACCATCGTTTAAATGATGCATATCATTTAATGATGATATGACATACAAGTACTTGACGCCTAGACCCAATTGGCAGAATCCTGCGAAAAATAGGAAGTCCCCTTCCGAGGCCAAGAGGAAAACCCTAACAAAAAAAGTAAAAAAAAGTAAAAGATTTTTTCTTAGGTAACCTTTTCCCCCCTTTTTATGGCGGATTCTGGCGGCCTTTTCGAACTCGGAGGTAGGCGAATCATAAGAGGTCTCGGGAGAGTAAAATTGCTGGCAGATTTGGGGTGGAGGGGGGTGTCTCGCTCCACCAGCTGCAAGCCCCCCCCCCCCCCCGATGGCAGAAAATAGTTTAAGTAAAATTCTGGCTTTGGGAGTCAGGGATAGAGATTAAAATTCTTTTTTTCTGATTGTAAGCGGGGTTTGAGGTATCATAAAGCATTTTTTTACCGTTAAATTATTAATGTAGATTTTTGAGGGCCTTTTACAGGTCAAGAGTGAGCGTATAATAGTGGGGGTGTGAAATGATTTGGTGATGTAGTTCATCCGGTAGAATGTAATTATATTCATATAAGGGTGTATGGTAGATGTGAATTTGATTTATACTGGAAAGTATACGTTTATTAGAAGTAAGTACCACTTGCTGGGGTAGAGTGTAGGATTGTTGTCTTGAGGTGTAGAGGAAAGACAGGTATAAGGCAAATTTAGGGCTGAGAGAAGTGGTCTCTGGTCATTGTCGTGGTTGAAGGGTTAATGTGATAGAAGACATCGTTTTGGTTTGTAGGGGTTGTTGATCTGTTAGGGGAGAAGAGGTGGGTTATAGTTGTTGTTAAAGTAGTAAAAGATTGCGAGAGAGGGTGCAAAATGGATGTGTGAGAATGTGAGTGAAAAGGTCTTTTAAATTATTGGTGCTAGGTAGGTTTTGAAGGAGGTTGCAACTGTTGAGGTATTCTAAAGTAGTTCTTCTTAATGGTCTGATGTTAAATGCAATTGTGATCATGATTAACTAGAGCAAGGATTTAAGAAACAATATGATCTGATGTGTTAATTTACTGGAGTAGCAGGGAGGCGGTTGAAAATTACTTGAAAATTTTGTTAATATGTGTTAAAAATGACAGTTATGGGGGGGGTGTAGTTGTAGGTGATGAGGTGTTTTTTCAGATTTCAGTCTTGTAAAGTTTTTTAAAATTGTGGATTTTTAACTTGCTTGCGCTCATTTATTCTGTTTTAGGGTGTGAGGTATTTCCAAGTTCTGTACTGATAAATTTGTAGGCTACCTCATTTTTAAGATTTTTATTTAAGTGCGATTTTTTAATGTTTAGCATTAAGATTTTAGATTAAAATTTTATTTCTTTTCGAAATTGTAGATTTTATTTTCATAGGGTGTGTGATGAATGGTTTATTTGGAATTGGGGGGGAAGGGGGGGAAAACCCAATAGGATTCTCTGAAACTCACTTCAAGGAAACTCGTCTAGATAGAGCACTTGTTATGCTTTAAATATCAATTAAGCAAACCTTCAAAGACATCCATTCCAACTCTCACCTATAACATTTAATTCCTAGGATTAGTTCCACCTTTCAATCATAGATTACTGACACTGTGAGAAGTCTATAGAAAGGAAAAAAAAAGAAAAAAGAACTATAGCCACTGGAAAAGAACGCCCGGCTTGGGGGGTGCTCCCGCCGTGGTATACCGCCATTAATCAAATGCCTCTTGGATAGGCATTGAGTAGGGGAGTGATTATCAATCAATGGCCCTGAAGTAGGAACCAAATGCTAGGAAAAATGTGAGAAAGAGCGACCCCCACGAGTTCGATCCCTGACCATCAATGACGTTTCACCTTAAGAAATCAACCTGTTGCTGGTTTCTTACTGTGCAACGGTACTGACTTGCAGAGTGCTTGAGTCCTGGTATATGTGAATTAAACGCACAGCCCAATAGGTAGAACAAGGATTAAACAAATCAGGCGCCCGTGCTTGTTGCATCCAGTTTTGTCGCCTGAATGGGTAAAAATAGTTAGGTAGGGATTATTCTATGGTGCTTTTATAGCACCATCGTTTAAATGATGCATATCATTTAATGATGATATGACATACAAGTACTTGACGCCTAGACCCAATTGGCAGAATCCTGCGAAAAATAGGAAGTCCCCTTCCGAGGCCAAGAGGAAAACCCTAACAAAAAAAGTAAAAAAAAGTAAAAGATTTTTTCTTAGGTAACCTTTTCCCCCCTTTTTATGGCGGATTCTGGCGGCCTTTTCGAACTCGGAGGTAGGCGAATCATAAGAGGTCTTGGGAGAGTAAAATTGCTGGCAGATTTGGGGCGGAGGGGGGTGTCTCGCTCCACCAGCTGCAAGCCCCCCCCCCCCCCCCCCTGGCAGAGATGGGTGAAGTTTGATATGTTTGTAGCTGAAAGCTTTCAGATATTTAGACCCCAGTATATGGGGTGGGTTGGGTGAATTTTGGTTTTGAGTACAAAGACAAGATTAAAACTTCTGTTTAGTACTAAGATGGGGTTTAACCTTCATTTTTAGTTTACAAAACTAATGCTTTATTTAAGCTATGAGTACTTATCATCAAATTTTATTTTCATACAAGTTAAGAGCGGGTATGAAAATTAGTAAGATTATAAAGTAGATTAGTGATGCAATTTGTCCAATGATGATGTAAGGGTGTTCGACAGGTATTCCTCCAATTCATGTTAGGGTGATAATATCTCCCACTAATAGTCAAAACAAGACCTGCCCAAGGGGGCGGAATGTGAGGGATCGTTGTTTCGAGGTGTGGAGGAGAGGGACACAGAATAAAACTAGGATGGAGGCAAAGAGGGCAATAACTCCCCCTAGTTTATTAGGAATAGATCGGAGGATAGCATAGGCAAACAGAAAATACCATTCTGGTTTAATGTGGGGTGGTGTGACTAGAGGATTAGCAGGGGTAAAGTTTTCAGGGTCCCCTAGAAGGTTAGGAGCAAAAAGGGATAGTGATACTAGAAGTATGATTAAAATAGCAAAACCTAATAGATCTTTATATGAGAAGTAGGGGTGAAAGGTGATTTTATCCGAGTCCGTTGTGATACCCGTGGGGTTATTAGAGCCCGTTTCATGTAGGAAGATAAGGTGAATTATAGTTGTTGCTAAAATAATAAAAGGAAGCAAAAAATGGAAAGCAAAAAAGCGGGTGAGAGTGGCGTTATTAACTGAGAAGTCCCCTCAAATCCATTGGACAAGGTTGTTTCCAATGTATGGGATTGCTGAGAGAAGGTTAGTGATTACTGTAGCACCTCAAAATGATATTTGTCCTCATGGAAGTACATACCCTACAAATGCTGTTATTATAAGGAGAAGTAATAAGATTACGCCTAGATTTCATGTCTCTTTATAAAGGTAGGACCCATAATAAAGCCCTCGCCCCACATGAAGGTAAATGCAGATGAAAAAGAATGAGGCTCCGTTAGCATGAATATTGCGGATGAGTCATCCGTAGTTGACATCTCGGCAAATATGTACTACTGAAGAGAAAGCAGTTGAAATATCCGAGGTGTAATGTATGGCTAAGAATAATCCAGTGATAATTTGGCTAATTAAGCAGAGACCTAATAAGGAGCCAAAATTTCATCATGCTGAAATATTAGATGGGGTGGGAAGGTCAATTAGGGAGTCATTTGCAATTTTGATTAAAGGATGTGTTTTTCGCAGGTTGGCCATTTATTTTAATAGTTGAATACAACGGTAGTTTTTGGGTTAGTGAGCCTGGTTAAAACCCAGGTAAGATTTATGTCAATTATAATGTGTTTGAGTTTAGTTCTCTTGATTTTGGGTTTGGCATTTGTGGCTTCAAACCCCCCTCCTTATTTTACTGCATTAGGTCTTGTATTAGTTGCTGGGGTAGGTTGTCTTGCTTTAGCAATTTTAAGTGGTCCTTTTTTCTCTTTGATCTTGTTTTGAATCTATTTAGGTGGTATAATGGTTGTTTTTGGGTATTCGGCAGCGTTAATTGCTGAGCCTTTTCCTGAAAGTTTGGGGAGTGGTTATGTGCTGGGTTTAATAATTTCTTATATGTGTTTAGTATTTTTTACTGCTGCTATGGTTTTGCATTTTTATGATGGGCCATTACATTTACTAGGTGAGATTTCTAGTTTTAATATAGTTCAAAAGGATGCATGGGGAGTAGCGCTCATATATTTATGTGGTGGGGTCTTATTGGTATTAGGGGCTTTAGTATTACTTCTAGCATTATTTGTTGTATTTAAATTAACTTGAGGCATAAGCTTTTCAGTACTACGCCCAGTTTAGTGAAAAGAGGTAGGTAAAGATTACTGTAGAGATGAAGAAAATGGATAAATATGTTTTAATTAAACCTTTCTGTATGTTTTCTACTAGGTGGATGGGTTTGTTACTTATTGTAGAGACTGTTTTAGGACCAATTTTTTCTAGTCAAGTTTGATCAATTGTTTGATTAGAGATGTGTTGTCCTATTAAAAGAGACATTTTAGTAAAAACTCGATGGATCACTGTCGGGAAGTAACCCAGTATATTTGAAAAGTTAAAGGGTGTAAGTTTAGGGGTTAGTTTCAGCTGTTTAGATATTATGATGGATATTTCTATAGCAGTTAAAAAGCCTAAAAGAGTAACCAAGATAGCGGCTATCTTAATGCTTGTGGGTATAGTGAGAATTGGGTTTTTGAAAGGTAAGGTGTCAGAAAAAATTAAAAGTCCTGCTAAAATACTTCCTCATGCTAACCGTTTTAAAGGGTTGATGATAGCATTATTATTTTCATTAATGGGAGACAAGGTGTTAAATCGGGGGTACCCTATTGAAACGTAGTACACGATTCGAAAGCTGTAGGCTGCAGTAAAAGAGGTTGCAATTAGAGTAATGATTAGGGCTCAGGCGTTTAAGTGTGATGTGTTTATGGCCTCAATGATGGCATCTTTTGAAAAGAATCCTGCTAAGAAGGGTATACCTAATAGGGCTAAGCTGCCGATTGTTAGGCAAGAAGAGGTTACAGGCAGTAAATGGTTTAAGCCTCCTATTTTTCGAATATCTTGTTCATCTTTTATAGCGTGAATAATGGATCCTGAACACAAAAACAATATAGCTTTAAAAAAGGCGTGAGTGCAGATGTGAATGAAGGCTAATTGAGGTTGGTTCAGGCCGACGGTAACTATTATTAAGCCTAGTTGGCTTGAAGTGGAGAATGCAATAATTTTTTTAATGTCATTTTGTGTGAGGGCACAGATAGCGGCAAATAGTGCTGTAATAGACCCTAGACAGAGACATGTAGAAAGAGCAATTGGGTCATTATCTATTAGAGGGCTAAACCGAATTAATAAAAATACACCAGCAACGACTATAGTACTTGAGTGAAGCAATGCTGAAACAGGGGTAGGTCCTTCTATGGCTGAGGGTAATCAAGGGTGAAGCCCAAACTGGGCTGATTTGCCGGTTGCAGCAAGGATTAGACCCAAGAGTGGGAGCGTTGAGGTTGTTAGTTGTGAGGTTATGAAGATTTGATGAATTTCTCATGAGGTAAGGTTTATTGCTATTCAAGCCATAGCTAGAATTAAGCCGATATCTCCCACTCGGTTGTAAATCACTGCTTGCAGAGCAGCTGTGTTGGCATCAGCTCGGCCATATCATCACCCAATTAAGATAAATGACATAATTCCTACACCTTCTCAACCAATAAAAAGTTGAAACAGATTATTAGCAGTTACAAGAACAATTATGGCGATTAAAAAAATTAAAAGGTTTTTAAAGAATTTATTAATATATGCATCTGAGTGCATGTATCATAGAGCAAATTCTAAGATTGATCAAGTTACATAAAGGGCGATGGGCAAAAAGATTGAAGAGTAAGAATCAAATTTAAAACTTAGATTAATGTTAAATAGTGTGTCGGTCCATGCTCATGTAGTGATAATTGTTTCCAGGCCCTGGTCAATGAAAAGTATTAAGGGGAATAATGCTGTAAAAAATGTAAATTTTACAGCTGTTTTGACTTTTTTGCGGGATCAGTCTGATGGTAGTCGAGGTTTTAAAGTGTCTAATAGAGGATAAATAAGAATTAATAAAAGTCAAAATATAGTGGATGAAAATATTAAGGATAAGTTGTGCATAACTTCTACTTGGAGTTGCACCAAGAGTTTTTGGCTCCTAAGGCCAACGGATCAGCTATTATCCTTTAGAAGTTTGAGAGAGTCCCGGATTCAAACCAAGAGTGCGAAAATTAGCAGTCATCGCTACGATCATGCCTCTCTCTGTGGCTAAAAGGGTTTTAACCTTTGTTGTAAGAATCACAATCTTATATTTTGTCTAAATTATAGCCACATGTAGTTCATCCTCAAACTAGTTCTGGTTTCATTATTAATATGACAAGAGGTATGATATGCAGAAAGATAAGTAGGTGTTCTCGTGTGTATGTGGGGCTTAAAAGTATTATGTGGTTGGGAGGTGTTCCTCGTTGTGCTGTAAGGAATATGTGTAGTGAATAACTAGCTGTAATTAAGGTTCCCAAACCTGTAAAGATAAGCGAGAAAACGGATCAATTGAATAATGAGGAGGTGATTAGTAATTCTCCCAAGAGATTGGGAAGTGGAGGAAGAGCAAGATTTGCTAAACTTGAAATAAATCACCAGGCAGCTATTAAGGGAAAGATGCTTTGTAATCCTCGGGTAATGATCATTGTTCGGCTATGTGTTCGCTCATAGTTAGTGTTAGCTAAACAAAATAGGGCTGATGAGGTTAGGCCGTGTGCAATTATTAGGATTAATGCTCCTGAGAATCCTCATGAAGTTTGAATTAAGATCCCTGCTGCGACGAGACCTATGTGGCTTACTGATGAGTAGGCAATTAGAGATTTTAGATCAGTTTGTCGTAGACAGATTAATCCTGTTATAATTACTCCTCATAGTGCCAAGATGATAAAGGGGTAAGCTATGTTTTTGGTTAAGGGTTCTAGGATTGTTATAATTCGCATAAGACCATAACCTCCTAGTTTTAATAACACAGCAGCAAGTACTATTGATCCAGCAATAGGTGCTTCTACGTGCGCTTTGGGTAACCATAAGTGAACCCCGTAAAGAGGTATTTTTACTAAAAAAGCTATGAGACATCCGAGTCATCATAGTTGATGTGAAATAGGGGTCAGGGTGGGGGAACTTAAATAGCTTATTGTAAAGAAGGATAATGTTCCTGTTGAGCTATGTAGAATGAGTAGAGCTACCAGAAGGGGTAGTGAGCTTGCTAGGGTGTAAAATAAAAAATAAGTGCCTGCGTTTAACCGTTCTTTTTGGTTGCCCCATCGTGTAATAAGTATTAATGTTGGGATGAGGGTGGCTTCAAATATAACATAGAACATAATGGTTTCTGTAGCGCTAAAAGCTAGAATTAAGAAGAATTGTAGGGAGATCAGTAAGGTAAGATAGACTCGTTGTCGATTTACAGGCTCATTTAAAACATGTTTTTGACTTGCTAAAATCATTAGTGGAAGGAGTCAGCAGGTAAGGATTAATAGGGGTGATGATAAAGAGTCTGTACTTATAAGGGTATTAGTTGTAGTTCAGTTAGTGATGGTTGAATAAGAAATTCAACCAAGGCTAGTCGAAGCAATAATAAAACTATACAAAAGAATGGAGGATCATATGTTTTTGTAGGGTGAAACCCAGGTTGATGAAATTAATATGAGTGTGGGTAAAATAACTTTTAACATTGTAACAGGTTTAGGGTGTTAATGCGATCTGAGCCGTGGGTTCGTGCGATAGCAATTAGTAAAGCAAGACCAATACTTGCTTCACAAGCCGAAAAGGTAAGAAGTAGCAAAGGAGGTGTAGAGAAGTTGTCTGACTCCATTTGGAGGACTCATAGGGAAAAAGCTATGAAAATAGATAGCATCATACCTTCAAGACATAGAAGTGCAGAGAGTAAGTGTGTTCGGTAAAATGTTAGGCCTATCAGGCCTAAGACGAATATAAATGAAAAAGTTATTAATGTAAAAATCATCAGGGTTATTATGGAGTTTAACCACAATTTTTTAAGCCGAATTCAAATGTTTTTATTAAACTAATAACCTACTCTGCTCATTCTAGGCCTCCTTGGGTTCACTCATAAATTAATCCAAGGGTTAGAAGTGTTAATACTGCTGATATTCATGAGAACGAGGTCAGGGGATCAGGAAGTTGGTTTCCCCAAGGGAGAGGGAGTAACAAGGCAATTTCTAAATCAAAGAGGATGAATAGGATAGCGATTAGAAAGAATCGTATTGAGAAAGGAAGTCGAGCTGAGCCTAAAGGGTCAAAACCGCACTCATAAGGGGATAATTTATCATAATTAGAGTTTAACGAGGGTAACCAAAATGCTAAGATGGCAAGAATTGTTGAAATTATTAGGAACATGGGCAATGTAGTAGAGATTATATTCATTATCTTTCCCTAGAATTTAACTAGGGTTAAGTGATTGGAAGTCACTAGTATTACCTATACTAGAAAGATAAGATCCTCATCAATAAATAGAAACATAGAGGAAAAGTCACACTACATCAACGAAGTGTCAATATCAGGCTGCAGCTTCAAATCCAAAGTGGTGTTGTGAAGTAAAGTGAAAATTAATTTGTCGCAATAAGCATACTATTAAAAATGAAGATCCAATAATTACATGCAGGCCGTGAAAACCAGTGGCTACAAAGAAAGTTGAGCCATAGACACCGTCTGCGATTGTAAAAGGTGCCTCATAGTACTCTATTGCTTGAAGGATAGTAAAGTAAAATCCAAGAATAATAGTCAGAGTTAATGATTGAATTGCTTGTTTTCGTTGACCTTCTATAATACTGTGATGTGCTCAGGTAACTGTTACACCTGAAGCAAGAAGAACTGCTGTGTTTAGAAGTGGGACTTCAAATGGGTTGAGTGTACTAATGCCTGTTGGTGGTCAACACCCGCCAAGTTCGGGGGTGGGAGCTAGACTTGAGTGGTAGAATGCTCAGAAGAAGCCTAAGAAGAAAAAGACTTCGGAGGTGATAAATAAGATTATCCCATAACGAAGTCCTTTCTGAACAGGTAGTGTATGGTGTCCTTGAAATGTGCCTTCTCGAATAACATCCCGTCATCATTGGGTTATGGTTAACAGTATGAGAGTTAAACCAATTATTAAGAGGAATATAGAGTTAAAATGTATTCAAATTGCTAAGCCGGATGTTAGGAGTAAAGCGGCAACTGCACCTGTAAGGGGTCATGGGCTTGGGTCTACTATATGATACGCATGTGCTTGGTGGGCCATTAGATGTTTTCTTGTAAGTAGAGGCTTAGCAGAAGAACAAAGACGTATGCCTGGATTATAGCAACAGCTACTTCTAGGAGGGTTAAAAGAAAGAGGAGTGTAGAAGTAAGCAATGCTACTGCGGGTATGAGGGGGAACAGGAAATAGGCTCCTGAGGCAATTAGTTGGATTAAAAGGTGTCCTGCTGTTAGATTGGCTGTAAGTCGGACACCTAAAGCTAGAGGTCGGATAAACAGGCTAATAGTTTCAATAACAACTAAAATAGGGATTAGCAGGGTTGGGGTGCCTTCTGGTAGTAGGTGGCCTAAAGAGTGGGTGGGCTGTTTTCGTATGCCTAAGATCACAGTAGTAAGTCAGATAGGAGTTGCGAATGCTATGTTAAGGGAGAGTTGCGTAGTTGGTGTAAAAGTATATGGGAGGAGTCCTAGAAGATTAAGTGTGATTAAGAAAATTAGTAGGGATGTTAGTAATATTGCTCATTTATGACCTTCTGTGTTTATAGGTAAAAAAATTTGTTTAATAAAGTTATTAATAAACCAACTTTGAATTGTTAAAGTTCGGTTATTAAGTCAGCGTTTAAGAGGTTTCGGGTACAAAACTCAAGGTAGGGATAAAGCTAATAGTATTAGTGGGATTCCTAATAGTGTGGGACTTATGAATTGATCAAATAAATTTAATATCATGGTCAGACTCAAGACTCTGTACGAGAACATACAACTTTTTGTGGTAAAGCATTATTAGGAGTTGTATGTGCCAATACTTTTGGGGGAATAACAATCAGGAAAAGTAATCAGGCGAAGGTTATGATTATAAATCAGGGATTGGGGTTGAGTTGTGGCATTTCGCTAGAGGTGGTTGGGAGGCACCATGTTTAGCTTAAAAGGCTAATGCTTACACCCATTTAGCTTTCTAGCGAGGCATCTTGGAGTATTAGGGAAGATCAATCTTCAAAGTATTTTAGTGGAACAGCTTCAACAACAATGGGTATAAAACTATGGTTAGCTCCACAAATTTCAGAGCACTGGCCGTAATATACACCTGGTCGCGAGACAATAAATGCTGTTTGGTTTAACCGTCCTGGTACTGCATCTATTTTAATGCCAAGGCTTGGAACAGCTCACGAGTGTAAAACGTCGTCTGCAGAAACGAGGATTCGGGTAGGTGACTCCATAGGAACTACTATTCGGTGATCTGTTTCTAGTAATCGGAACTGACCAGGCATTAGATCTTGGGTAGGAGTTATATAGGAGTCGAATGTGATGTTTTCATAATCTGTATATTCATAGCTTCAATATCATTGGTGCCCAATGGTTTTAATAGTGAGATGAGAGTTGCTAATTTCATCTATTAGGTACAGGATACGAAGCGATGGAAGAGCGATTAAGATTAAAATCATGGCTGGAAGTAATGTTCAAATAATTTCAATTTCTTGTGAGTCAAGGATAAACTTATTAGTAAGTTTGGTGGTTACTATTGCAATAATGATGTATAGTACTAACGTGCTGATTAAAAAAACAATTATTAAAGTGTGATCATGAAAGTGAAGAAGTTCTTCTATTACAGGAGAAGTTGCATCTTGAAAACCTAGTTGGGAGGGATGTGCCATTTTTAAGACTCGCGGGGTTTTAACCCACAATTTTGTCTTGACAAGACAAGGTAATATTTTACTAGGGTCTTATTAAGAAAGTGACAGATCGGTTATGTAATTGGCTTGAAACCAAATTATGGGGGTTCAATTCCTTCCTTTCTCGGTATTAATTGCATCGAACAGATGCAGGTTCTTCAAAAGTGTGATAAGGAGGAGGACAGCCATGAAGCCATTCAACATTTGTCTGAGTTAATTCTACTGAAAGAACTTCACGTTTTGATGAAAATGCTTCTCAGATAATAAATAGGAATATGATTATGGCAATTAAAGAGATTAAGGAGCCTATAGAAGAAACAGTATTTCAAACTGTGTAGGCATCTGGGTAGTCTGAATAGCGTCGAGGTATTCCTGCTAAGCCTAGGAAATGCTGTGGGAAGAATGTAAGGTTTACTCCTAAAAATATTACACCAAAGTGGATTTTAGCTCATGTTTCATGAAGCGTGTAGCCTGAAAATAAGGGGAATCAGTGAATAAATGCGGCAATGATGGCAAATACTGCCCCTATTGATAAGACATAGTGGAAGTGTGCTACTACATAGTAGGTGTCATGAAGAACAATATCAAGAGATGAGTTGGCTAGAACAATCCCCGTTAGGCCGCCTACTGTAAACAAGAAAATAAAACCAAGAGCCCAAAGTAAGGGTGTTTCTCATTTAATTGCGCCTCCATGAAGGGTAGCTAATCAACTGAATACTTTCACCCCTGTGGGAATAGCGATGATTATGGTTGCAGATGTAAAGTAAGCTCGGGTGTCCACGTCTATACCAACGGTAAATATGTGGTGAGCCCAAACAATAAAGCCGAGTAAGCCGATTGCTATCATTGCTCAGACTATACCCATGTAGCCAAAAGGTTCTTTTTTACCTGAATAGTAGGCTACAATATGAGAAATTATGCCAAAACCTGGTAGAATTAGAATGTAAACTTCTGGGTGACCAAAAAATCAAAATAAATGTTGATAAAGAATTGGATCTCCTCCTCCAGCTGGGTCAATGAAAGTCGTATTTAAATTTCGATCTGTGAGTAGTATTGTAATACCTGCGGCCAAGACAGGCAGTGAAAGTAGAAGTAGTACAGCCGTGATTAAGACGGCTCAAACGAATAAAGGGGTTTGATATTGTGAAATAGCTGGTGGTTTTATATTAATAATAGTTGTGATAAAGTTAATGGCCCCTAGAATTGAAGAAACACCTGCCAAATGGAGGGAGAAGATTGTTAGGTCTACAGAGGCTCCTGCATGAGCTATGTTTCCTGCTAAGGGGGGATAGACTGTCCAGCCTGTCCCTGCGCCTGCTTCAACCCCTGAGGAGGCTAATAGAAGAAGGAAGGAGGGGGGTAGAAGTCAAAAGCTTATGTTGTTTATTCGGGGAAAAGCTATATCAGGTGCTCCGATTATGAGGGGTACTAGTCAATTTCCGAAACCGCCAATTATGATTGGTATTACTATAAAGAAAATTATAACAAAGGCATGTGCTGTAACGATGACATTGTAGATTTGGTCGTCACCTAGAAGAGACCCGGGCTGACTTAATTCTGCTCGGATCAGGAGGCTTAAGGCTGTGCCTACCATTCCGGCTCAGGCACCAAAGATTAAATAAAGGGTGCCGATATCTTTATGATTAGTGGAGAAAAATCAACGAGTGATGGTCACAGGTAGAATGACTGAAATAGTGGTGGATTGTAACTCCCTAAATAGAGGTTTGAGTCCTCTTTCTCCCAGTCCCCAGCCCTGAGGTGTGTACATGCATGGTTGCAAACCGTGAGTGGTAGATTATCGTCTGCCGGGGCTTTCCCCGCCTATTTCTCCCCCGACTAGGCGGGGAAAGTAGACGGATGCTCGCTGGTTTGAGTATTTAGCTGTTAACTAAAAGTTTGTAGGATCGAGGCCTACTCGTCTAGAAGGCTTTAGCTTAATAAAAGTGTCTGTTTTGCATGCAGAAGATGTGGGTTAGAATCCTGTAGGTCTTAAGGGTTAAGAGATTTGCACTCTTATATAAAGCTTTGAAGGCTTTGGGTTTGATGTTAACCTAAACTCTTAAAATAAAGGTATTGCTGCAAGGGGAAGAAGGGGGAGTATAAGCAGGGTTATAGTTATTGAGGTAGCGGTTGGTAGAATGATATTTTTGTTGTTTAGACGTCAGGATAGTGTGTTTGTTGATGTATTAGGAGCAATGGTAAAAGTCATGTTATAAGACAATCGTAGGTAGAAGTACAAGCTGAGTAGGGCTGATAGAGCCGCTATGGTTGCTGTTATAAAAAAATTTTGTTTAATTATTTCCTGTAGGATTAATCATTTTGGTAAAAATCCGGTTAAGGGAGGAAGACCTCCCAGCGATAGTAAGATCAATGGAGTAAGGGTAGTTAAGACGGGTACTTTTATGGAGGAGGTTGATAAGGAGTTAATATTGGTTGTCTTATTAATCATGAAGATGTTAAATAATGAAAATGTTATGATGATATAAACTAATAAAGTTATTAGGGATAATGAAGGGAGTAGTTGTATTACTAAAAGTATTCAGCCTAGATGAGCGATTGAGGAATAGGCTATAATTTTTCGTAATTGAGTTTGATTTAAACCTCCTCATCCTCCTAGGATGATAGATGTTAATCCTAATAAAATTGTAAAGTTGCTGTTGGGAATTTGACACAGTAAAGAAAAGGGGGCTAGTTTTTGTCAGGTGGCCAGGACTAACCCTACTTTCAATTCGAGGCCTTGCATAACATCTGGGAGTCAAGAGTGCATAGGTGCTAGGCCTATTTTTAGGGAAAGGGCCATTGTGATAATAATTGTGGGTAGGGGGTGTATTACTTGTGAGATTTCTCATGCTCCTGTGAGTCAGGCATTTGTTGTGGCAGCAAACAGTAATGTTGTGGCTGCGGTAGCTTGAATTAGGAAGTACTTGGTAGTGGCTTCTACAGCTCGGGGGTGATTTTGCTTAATTATTAAGGGGATGATTGCCAATGTGTTAATTTCTAAGCCCATCCAGGCTAGTAACCAATGGGTACTTATGAGTGTAATGGTGGTTCCAAGTATTAAGGTGAATGCTATAGTTAGAAGGGTCAAAGGGCTCATTAGTAGAGGAAGGACTTTAACCAACGTGTTCGGGGTATGGGCCCAAAAGCTTATATTAGCTGACTCTACTAGAGAGTGGTGTAATGGGAGCACGAAGGGTTTTGATCTCTTAAGTAGAGGTTCAAATCCTCTTTTTCTAAGGAGTTGAAGGGGTTTTAACCCTTATTTTTTACTCTATCAAAGTAATCCTTTATTCAGGCACAGCTCCTCTAGATTTGAGGGGGAAGACCTGCAAAGGAAACAAGAATGGCTTGGTGCCATATTAAAAATGCCATAGTAATTGGAAGAATGTTTTTTCATACAAGGTGTATTAGTTGGTCATATCGAAAACGTGGGTAGGACGTCCGAACTCATAGGAAGACTATGCTTAATAGGGTTGTTTTGATTATAATAACTATTGTTTCGTTGTTTAGATTATTATAAAGTAGATTTGTGCTTATGAACAAAATAGCAGATAGTATGTTTATAAGGATGATGTTTGCATATTCTGCTAGAAAAAACAATGCAAAAGGTCCTCCAGAATACTCGATGTTAAAGCCTGATACTAGTTCTGATTCCCCTTCTGTTAAATCAAAGGGTGCTCGATTTGTTTCTGCTAGTGTCGATACATACCATATTGTAGCTAGAGGCCATATTGTGAATACTAGTCAAGTATTTTCTTGAGCTGTACTGAAAACTTGTAGCGTGAAGCCCCCAGTGAAAAGGATAGTATTAAGAAGAATTAATCCTAGGCTTACTTCATATGAAATTGTTTGAGCCACGGCCCGTAGGGCTCCGATGAGTGCATATTTGGAGTTGGAAGCTCAACCTGAGCCTAGGATTGAATATACTGCTAAGCTGGAGAAGGCTAGGATAAACAAAAGGCCGAGATTTAGGTTCGCTAAAGGGGAGGGCATCGGTATGGGAACTCATAGAATTAAGGCTAAAGCAAGAGCAATGGTGGGTATAGCTAGGAAGAGTAGGGGGGAGGAGGTAGAGGGTCATACGGGTTCTTTTAAAAATAGTTTAACACCATCTGCGATGGGTTGTACTAGGCCGTAAGGCCCTACAATATTAGGACCCTTTCGTAATTGTATATAACCTAGTACTTTTCGTTCAATTAGTGTTAATAATGCAACTGCCAATAAGACAAACACTGCTATTAGTAATGGGTTAATAATATATAATAAAATTTGATGAGACATAGTTAGAAGGAAGATTTGAACTTCCATAAAAAGGGCTTAGGCCTCTTGCTATACCTAGTTCTGCCATGCTAACTCTGTGGTTGAGTCGGCAAAAAAGGCTCAACCACCCTAATAGGGGTAGTTGAGCCAGTATTTTGTTTTGTTATTCTAATGCGTGGAATTATCTTTTCCTAATTAGTATTATCTTTTTCTTATTTATTTGTTTTCATAAGTAAAGAGGAAGGCTTAATTTATTATTGGCCTTTTTTACTCGGTCCTTTCGTACTAGAGTAGAAAATATCATAGATAGAAACTGACCTGGATTACTCCGGTCTGAACTCAGATCACGTAGGACTTTAATCGTTGAACAAACGAACCCTTAATAGCTGCTGCACCATTAGGATGTCCTGATCCAACATCGAGGTCGTAAACCCCCTTGTCGATATGGGCTCTAGAAGAGGATTGCGCTGTTATCCCTAGGGTAACTTGGTTCGTTGATCGGCTTTGCCGGATCATTGCGGTTAGAATTACTATTTCTTAGAGTTGTCACTCTGGGATTGGAAGAAGTTACTTCATTCCTCAGGGAGGTTTTATTTTTCTCCACGGTCGCCCCAACCAAAGTCACTTGAATAGTTCTCATTATATTATACTCATTAGTTTGAGAAATTTGAATATGCTCTATTCTTGCGATTAAAGATCCATAGGGTCTTCTCGTCTTATGTTTTTATTCCCGCTTCTGCACGAGAAGATCAATTTCATTGATGAGAAAAAGGAGACAGTTAAGCCCTCGTTATGCCATTCATACAGGTCTTCATTTAAAAGACAAGTGATTGCGCTACCTTTGCACGGTCAAAATACCGCGGCCATTAAACTTTGTCATGGGGCAGGCGGGACTTCTTATATTGAGAATTCAAGAAGCTATGTTTTTGGTAAACAGGCGAGGCTTTATAGTATATTTGCCGAATTCCTTCTTTTTCTTTTTATCTTTCCTATAATGCACTCCGGTGTTGGGTTAACGGTTATGTTTAAACAGTTTTCTTGTTATTACTTTGTTATTTTATTCCCTCTTTTATTGGGGCCGATAATTTTAGGAGGATTTTCCGCTCCTAATTACAGGGGTGCTAGGAGAAGGGTCTCTTATTACTCATATTAGCATGATCTCTTCCATAATAAGATGGAGAGGTCTGGTAATTTTGGGGATGTGAGATAAAAAATCTTTATTAAAAGTGGTGGTAATGTTTGAGCTTTAACGCTTTTTCCCTAGGTGGCTGCTTTTAAGCCCACTAAAACATTAACCTTGTGTGTATATGTTCTTTGATCACCTGACAAGGTTGTATCCTTTTTCATAAGGGCTGAACCCCTTACGAATAACTCCTTAACATTCTTTTGTTATCTTGATCATTAGTCAGAATTAAGTTTAAGAAAGTTAAAGGCTAAACTCCTATCTAAGTCCCAGACAACCAGCTATAACTAAGTTCGGTAGGTCTGTCACCTCTACTCAAAGATCTTCACACTCTTTTGCCACAGAGACGTGTTTGCCCTTTTTTAGGCTGTCTTGGAGTAGCTCACTTAGTTTCGGGGTGATAAACTAGAATACATTTTGCTTAGTCTATTCTTGCTAAATCATGATGCAAAAGGTACGAGTGTTTATCTCTGCTTTATTATACTTTACTGTGTTATTTCACTTCTCTTTCAGCATTCCCTTGCGGTACTTTATCTGTAGCTTAAATTTCCTTTTCTATCGCCTATACTGAGATATGAAAAATGGTTTAATTAGGTTTATTAGTATATTAATGTGTATTAATAGTTGTTTGTTGGTTATTATGTGTAGCTAGCTTTTAAGTATCAGAGTAACCCGATTTGCGCGGATAACTTTTCGGTGTAAGTGAAATGCTTTCCTAATTTAGCTATACTCTGGTTAGCCAAGTACACCTTCCGGTATACTTACCATGTTACGACTTGCCTCCCTTTTGTTTTAGATTGTTATTATATATTTAGGGTGTGGTGTTTAGGGAGAGTGACGGGCGGTGTGTGCGTGCTTCAGGGCCAGCTTCAGCGGGGTGTGCTGGTCCCTGCTTACTGCTAAATCCTCCTTTGATTCTTATTTTCATAATGTTGTCCGTAATATCCTGACATAGGAAATGTAGCCCATTTCTTTCCTTTTCATATGCTACACCTCGACCTGACGTTTTAAATTATATTGTCTTTGCTTACTGAGTATCCTTCACAGGGTGAGCTGACGACGGCGGTATATAGGCGGGAAGAACAAGAAAAGGTAAGGTTTAACGGGGGTTATCGGTTATAGAACAGGCTCCTCTAGGTGGGGCTAAAGCACCGCCAAGTCCTTTGGGTTTTAAGCTAATGCTCGTAGTACTCTGGCGAATGTACATGTATTTTGATATTAAAGTTTAGGACTGTGCATAGTGGGGTATCTAATCCCAGTTTGTTTCACAGCTCTCGTGTATTCAGGATAGTTAAAGCTACTTACGTAAAAGTTTTTCTTTGACCCAATAACGTATAACAGTTTTGGGTGGATTCTGCTTTAGTTTATTTGTACTTTAAACACGCTTTACGCCGTTAACGATCAATTTGAGCCTCTCGTATAACCGCGGTGGCTGGCACGAGTTTAACCGGCCCTATTAACTATAACTAAGTCAAGCTTTCGCTTATAGCTTAATATTTCTCACTGCTGAATTCCCTTGGGGGTGTGGCTAAGCCTGATGTTTTGGGCTAAAAATTTATTGTGCCTGATATCATTTCTTAGAATTCAAAAGAAAACTTAAGGAAATCTCACGGGAATGCGGATACTTGCATGTATAATTTTAGTTAAAACTGATAGTGAAGTTAGGACCAAACTTTTGTGTTTACGAAACCAGGCTAAGGTTTATCTTAACAGCTTCAGTGTCATGCTTTATTTAAGCTACGTTAAC